GCCGCCGAGGACGTTGTAAACGTTAACTATTTCCCGCTGGGTGATGTCCCTTGTTACGGAGATGGTCCAGTCGACATAAGCTGGGTTGGTGATGCCTAAATGATAAACTCGGGGCTGTGAAGACAAGGATTAGATCCGACTAGAGTCGAAGCAAGATCTTCAGTCAGTAAGGAAAGACTATATTGCAGTAACCAACTGTACCTAGAGTCGAAGCAAGACTACAAAGGTCAAGTAAGTAACTACAAGTTAGAGATAGATGTAACGAAGTACTCACTCTTCAGTCAGTAAGGAAAGACTGAAGAGGGAGGACGCAATCTGAAGTCCTTATATACTACAGAGAAGTGTCCATGACTAATCAAAAAGTGGTTAGTCACATGTACCATAGTGCGATGAATAATACAATGGTGAAAGAATTGCGACGTATCACACCATAGGATGAGTAAGAGATGAGTAAGCATAGACCTGTCTAGACCGTTCTGGACTAGTATGGATTGTCCTAGACAGTACCAGAAGAGTCCGGAAGCATAGCTATAGTACACGAGCAGAGAGTCCCAAATATGGTAACATACTACATAAGCGACTACAGCTAAGCGCTAGGAGACGCATAGCCTCGTGTAGTCCGGACCGGATAAGTCCAAGTTCAACACTAAACTATTTGCCAAGGCGCGGATAGCGTTTTCCAACGAGTCATATTCAACACCAGCGTAGATCCATTGAATTTCCGGATACGCTTGAAGCGTGGCAGTGGGTGAAGCCGGACGGGTGTGTGCCAGTGATGGAGCCGGGTGGGTGGGTTGACCCGGGTCGTCTGACTTAAAGTCATCCTCTGCCAGGGGGGCGTAACGCGAGCCTGAAGCCATTGCGATGATATCCGATGTACAAAACTAAACGACGATCCAATCTAAGTACCCAAAACGTTCTAACTCGACTAAAGCTTTGACAACACGCTCGAAGTTCTGCCCAAGTCCACTAAACTTGACCTTCCCAAACTCCTTGCAGAACCAATCGATGTTCTGTTGCCGACTGCAAGTCTACGAGGTACCGTTCTCAATGTTGTCGAGGATCCACTCAAGCCTGTCGCCGATACGCTGAAGGGCGAGCCGATGATCGTGGGGGATGTCGAGCAACTGATCCTTGCGATCGAAGATAGCTTGCAGTCTTTTGATGACAGCGGTAACCTTGGAGCCAACGATGGCGAGGAGGTCGATGGGATCACGATGTGCGAAGGAGGGGATAGGTGGTGCAGAGATGCAGTACTGGAGAGGGACCGTAGGGGTTGATGGTATGAAGACTGGTGGGGGTGTGGTGAGATGTGCAGCGAGTGGTCTGTCGAGTGGCTGACTGGGGGGCACAGATGGTAGGAGGGCCTTGCGACGAGGGACGATCGGAGTATGCCGATACTGGCGGCGATGATGAAGACGATCTGATGTATCGTCCGCAAGGGCGTGGTCAATCTGAGACTGGACGTCGAGGTGACCGTGTCTTTTGAAATGACGACGGGTAAACTCCGGTAGGTCCGAGTCGGATGGAAGGATAGTGGGGGGGAATGATAAACGTTTCAAAAAACTCCTGGGGGAAGAGATCCGGTCCGCAAGTGGTTGAGACACTCCACGGAGGGGATGGGTAAGAGACTTGATCTAATGTCACAGCCAACGAGCTGTGCCACCCGATAAACAAAGACAAAGCTTGCTGGTGAAGGGGTTGGTGCTGAGAGCGAAGCAACCACAAGTGACACAGCAAGGTATGATGCAAAGATGTGAATTCCCTAGACTAGAAGGGGCAGTAGAAGGTAGGGCTGCTAGCTACCTACAGAGGAGATGGGGGATTGACGAGAAGATCAAGTCTGAGGTTCCCTGCCTCAGACTCCCTACTATATATACTAATACAACGGTGCACGGACCAGGTACCGATTGACCATCGTTTGGTCAGAGTTCTCTGCCTCATGTCCTACCCTCTGACCTGCCTCATGGTGACCTTACGACTAATACCTGAGTCGTGCCGAGTCCGGACTCCTTCCAATGAGTAAGCGCTTCTGCTGTCACATCAGTCACCTGCCAGTGAGTGAGGATGGGCGCTCCTGGACGTCACAAGGTCTCACCAGTACACACTAGATAAATTTTTTGATCCTTATAGTTATAGTAAAACGCGAATTATTTGGCCCAAATGTTATAGTGGCCCTTCCAAATATTTGAGACGGTTGGAGGGATGCCCCTCCCAGATATTCGAGGTGAACCCCAAATATTTGGGATGTATGTATGAGCGAGGGGAGGAGGGTACCCCCCTCCGAATATCTGCCAAATATTTAGTCTCAGCGCTACATAGCGCTATGTACAGAGGAACATGATCGTGTCATCCGTCCAACTATTTGAGCAAATATTCAGAATGTATGTAGGAATGAGGGGAGGAGGGTACTCCCCCTCCACCAAATATTTGCGAGATATTTGAGTATTTCCCCCCCTGCGTCCTGAGGCATGGGATGCGGCACACGTCCACACGTCCCAATATTCTTCAAATATTCAGTTGGCAGATACCTGACCGCTAACAAATATCTGAGACGCGGCTTTTACCAGCGACAAATATGTGCGTCCCTGCGAATATTTGCACAAATTTCTCGTACCGATGCACCCAGATATATTTGTCTCATCCGCAAATATTTGAGAAGTCCAAGCCAACGTGTAGGGACACTACGCCTTCTTGGGCTTCCTTCCGCGTCCCGACCTCTTACCGCCACGCCGGGAAGTACCACCCATGGCCTCATAGTTGCCTGTCCCCTGGGTCTCCGTCCCTCCAATCTCTGTCTCATGGGTCTCCATGCCCTGAGTAGCACCACTCCCACCGCTCAACGCCCCGCTACGACACAAGCTACAGATTAGTATAGTTCATCCACCACGTATAGCACAGCACTTACTCTGCGACGCTTTTCCTCTTCTTGGGTGGAGGGACGCTCCCCACATCCACCATCGCCGTGGCATCAGTGTCCGGGTTGCCTTGAGAGCGCCCCCGCAGTACTCTCGTCGATGGTGCAACGTTAGCCTTGGGACGGCCCCTCTTCTTCTGCCCAGGAGCCTGTGCCCCATCTCCCCCCCGTTCGTCTGTCATCTCCTCACCGCCCTTTCCCACTTCGACCTGAGCGCTCTCTGCAGGTGGATGCTCTTGCAGTAGAGGCTCGCCCACACCTACGTTGAGGACAGGCTGCGACACTTCGCCCATGTGCACGTCAAGGTCAGGTTGCGACACCTCCCCTGATCGCTCATCGGGAAAAGTTTCGAAATCACTGGATGCTGGCATAAACATCTCGCGATCCACGACCGACGGCAACGTGCAAGGGGTTGACGTCACACTTGCGGGAAACTCCTCCTGCGACCTGTATCCAGCGTCCTCCTCGTGGATGGGGAACAGGGCGGAAGGACACTGGCAGG